GCCTTTCCGGCTGAAAAGAGATAATCCGAGAAAACATTTTGCTTGCCTCGGTCTCTACATCATCCATTCTGTTCTTCGATTATCCCTTCTAACACCTTTATAATCGTCGCAAAGGCAAATTTTCATAACAGAAAAGGGAAAAGTTTTCATAACTTGCATTAATTGCACCTCATAGACCGGATGCGTGCATTGTGAGGATGAGGATGAGAGGAGGAGTTGTTAGGAGAAATCCTTCTTAGGGAGTAATTTAAGGCAATAATATTTCCGAAATTCCCAACTCACATATTTGAAATCCTCTCGCGGCTCTTTAATGATAAAGCAAGTGGGCCCTTTTATTCATCCTGGCCTGCTATCTGCGGAACAGATTACTGAAAGGTTACCACTAGCGAATTCGTATTTATGCAATTTCCAGAGGGCATTTCCTTGAGAGAATTAAAATAGTTGTTATTCATAGCAGTGAGTAAATCCCGGAAGAAAGTGGAAACAAACGAACCTTGATCCATCTTTTGTGGATGGACTGTCAATTATGTCCAGATGAATGAAAACAAGGCTGAAAATGAAAAAAGAAATTCTTTAAATTTTCCAGGAGGGCGTATTTTTTATTATGCGCTGCATTGCGGACAAACTATTATGGGTTGTTCGGAATGAGACATAAAAACTCCATATAAGGAATTGAAAAATGGCTGAGTTGCGAGAAGTGACAAAATTAAGTCGTCATCATCATCGTCAGCAGCAGCAACAGATAGGAGCGAGCCCCTTGTTCTTTGCCAAAACCTGGATACACTTCCAGCGTGGGAAGCAGGAGTTTGCGGTGATTATCCTCCTGGGTAGCGCTGTTTTGGAATACAATGTGTTTGGTAGTTAAGCATAACATTGTAATAAATGGTGTCTTATTACTTTCTGTGTAATATCTCTGTGATTATCTTATCTCGGTTTACTAATTCACTAACCTTCATTATTCGAAAAAGTAAGGTGGAGGGGGAGGGGGAAATTGCTAGCAGCTTAAGAGGTCCTCTTCCGCGTTTTTGCAGGCGTAAAAACGCACGATTTAAAATTTTTTTTCCTGGTCTCCCAACCTGAAATCAGCGTTGTCAGTTAGCCCAGCACCAATACTAAGCTTTTCTCTTGTCAGTCGAGCCATGAAACTAGAGTGCTTGTCGAGCAGGTTCTACTGAAGCAAGTGGTAACAGCAGGGTGAATGATATCCATTCAGGAACACCAGTAGTTGGCGAAGTGGTACAGATAACCTTGTTGGACAAATTAGAGGAGAGGGCTATAACGATACGCTGCAACGGCTTTTGCACATACTAGTTTCCCATCCAGCAGTAGACGCTTAAGCACGCCGATCTTCGAATGCGTCAGACCTGTTCGCTTGGTGAGATTTTGCGCATCGGGGCTTCCCTGGCTGAACGTTGCAACGTATTGGGATGCGTCTTACTAGTAAAATCGGCAATGAAGATTCTGCGAGATTTGTGCTGCATTTTATTATGAGCTCATGGAAAAGTAACACACGTGGCGCAGAACGTGGAGGCACGTTCCTGCTTTGCTCTGAATCGATAAACGTAAAACAGGGTGTGATATTCGCGCGAGGGAAAACCTTCGGCCATGGGAGGGCGCTGTGGAAGTGCATACTGATTACAAGCAGTCTTCGATGACCGGGCCGAGCGTAGCTAAGTTCTGGGCCAAGTTTTAGTGACATCTGGAACTCCACGTTGTTAGAAGTTCAGACGAGTTCACATTTACCGTCAGCATAATTTTCTTGAAGCTCTTGCGCTTTGTTCATACTCGAAGTACAGAACTGTTACTCTGGTACACCTGACTGCTGTTATCATTACTTGCTTTCTTCGTTATCTGAGTGTATCATATCAGTGGAGGCCGTGCAAGTGCCCCTCGTTGTCCTAAAAGGTACCACTCCGTGATGCGAGGCCTTCACTAGTCATCCACTGTACCGAAATATATACATAATGTGTCACGCCCCTCTCCTTGTATAAAATGACTACTCCTGTGAGTGGACTAGTCCGCCGTTTGCCTAGGTTTTTTGATGTCCAGTGCTAAATTTAATATTTTTGGAGCTACTTAATGGTTTTTAACCTGATTTGACATTTCGGACTGCTGTTAATGCATTTTGGCTGAATCCCACGACATTTGACTAAATTTTTCGCTTTTTGACGTAATTTGTTCACATTTTTCGCATGAGGGCAATTTCTTGTGCCCCCATTATTGAGTACAGAAGAGGCATGCCCCCATCTCTCCCTCCCT